AATGCACAATAAATGCACAAATGCATATCCATGGTCCATTGCGACGTCCTTATGGTTTGTGCGTTGATAGATATCCTTGTCAGGGATTGAGGATTTTGTCGATTGGAGCCAACTGCTGAGCCAAGGCTCGACTTGTTTCTGTCCAATGTCCACAGACAATAAATTGATTGAGGCCTTTGTACATTTCCGCGGACCATTCCATCAGTCCATTGATGATGTCCAGCCCGCGAAACAGCCGGGTGCCGCCTCAGCCAACTAAAGGCCAGCGGTGGACGCTCTGGCCTTTGCTCTTCTGTTCTTAAGACGTCTCGCTTCCTCGACCCTGCTTGGCCTGGCTGCTGGCTGCGGGAACCAGACTGTGAGCAGACTCGAGACCAACTTGACCCCAGCTATAGTCCCCTCAACTCCACCGCTTGTTGCGACACGGGATTTCCGAAGTGGATTAACGTCTGGTCCTGTATGATCCCGACAGACAACTCGCTGTCCTTCTGGCCAAACACTTCGAGTGCATACACTTCGGCCACCAGTTGACCACCTCCCTCACCTGACCTGGCCGCCTCCGGATCATCGTGGCTTTGTAACCGGACCTGGCCATATTGTTTCACGCCCCTCAGCTGCCTTCTCATTCCTGACCTTGCATCGACATTTCGGCCTCTTCTCCCGTACCGTTGCCTCATCCGTGGCCCATCCATCACCTTTGCATCGCTCTTCTCCGCCCGCGCCCGTCGTCGGATCCCAAGGCAGCCACCAGCAACCAGCCGCGACGTCATTTAATTGATGGATACTTGACCCTGGCGCCAGCTAGAGCACCACAAGCACCACTAGCACCGTTTGACCACAATCCGCCCAACCCCATCAGTTAGTTGGATCTTTGGTACCGATTTGACCCGTTGGCCATCCCACTCGAGACCGACAAAGACCACTTCAACATCCCGAACCACCCCAACGAGCATCAAAGCCCTGATAAAGCGCCCTCACCATGGCCTCCAGATCGGGGGCCGGCTCTGGCGGACACCGTGCAAACCCAAACCCCCCTCGAGACTCCCAGGAAGACTTCCCGCCGCTTCCTCTTCCTCGACTACCGTCGTTGCGGACGTTGAGCGGCGAGCGGGAACGATCTCGACCGGCTTCACCACCAAGTGCCAGCGTCAGCGCCAGTGCTGCCGCCGCCAGCGGCGGACTCAACGGTCGACAACCAGCCAGATACTGGTCTGCGGCGGCTAGAAGAGCCGAGCGCATCCGCAACCTAGACGACAGAGCCCCCAGTCTGGACGACTTGGAATCCAACTCCATGGACCAGTCGTGGTCCTCCACGAACCGTCGCCAGCCCAGACTACGTCCCCTCGATACCGCTTCGCACCATCGACGACCCAACCTGGACGAGCTGGACCAGACTCTGGACGAGGCCAACTCGCAGCTTCGCACGCTACTCGACATGACAAACCACATCAACCTCATGACGCCTTTCCTCCGATCAACCCTGTCGCCCACTATTCGTCCCCACGACTTTCCCGACGACAATGTACGAAGCAAGCGTCGGAAGATCGATTCGAACAGACTAGTGCCGAGTTTCAAGGGCTTCCGGTATGGCAAATACGGCCAGGTTGAACCGGGCCAGCTGCAAATGGAGATTGTAAGCTGCGACGGCGGCATGTTCTCCAACGAGTCGTCCTACGCCGCCGAGAACATCCTCAAGGACGACAGTTCGGTATACTGCACCAAAGGCAATAGATGTAATATTGTGCTGCGACACCAAGGCGCAACCGTCTTCACCCTTGAAGAACTCGTCATCAAGGCTCCTGCTTCCATGAACTATTCCCATCCGTAGGCACATCCCACTCGCCATCCTTGCACTCCGTGGTTGCCTTGACATTCACTGACAAATCAGTTAGGGTACGCGAAGGCATGGTCTTCATCTCCATGAACCAAGACGACACCCTCAGCCGCACGGCCCAATACCAAATCCAATATGTCTCCTCCAACCGCATCACCTACGACGACCACACCACCCGTCACTCCTTCGACCGCGACCCCACGCCCCGACACATCGTCTCCATCCGCCACCACAACGACGGCACCACCTCCACACGCGTTCGTCGCTCCCTCTATCCCTCCCACTCTTACTCCCACGACCACGATGAGGACGACCACCGCACCCCCGAAATGCCCCAGGAGTTTTCTACAAACCAGCCCGACTTCCGCATTACCACCGAATGCACTTCGGATGAAGAGGACTACACTATGCCTCATATCCTGCGCCGCACACCCAACCGCATTGGCTCCTTGCCTTTTGAAACAGAAACCTCTGATTCCGAAGAGGGTCCCTTCACAGATGACTTTACCGAATCCTTCCACCGCCAAATCCATCCTCCGTCGGGATCCTCGACATCCCATCCATCCCGCCCGACCCACTCTCATAGCGAACGTCTCTCCGTCTCCCTGGCAGAAGCATGGGACGCCCACGCCTCGGCTACGCAAGAAGCCATTCGCGCCGTAGGCGGCGAACTGCTCGTCCCCCACGCCAAATTCTTCATTGAAAAAAAGAAGTCAAAGTGCACCATCCGATTCGACCCCCCTGTTTCGGGACGCTTCATCCTCCTCAAGATGTGGAGTTCGCACCATGACGTTGCGAGTAACATAGATATCCAGAGCGTCATGGCAAAGGGGTACGCTGGACCACGATACTTCCCGTCGGTGGAGCTTAGTTAACAATCTTGGCGGTGACCAAGATGAAGAAACGGCTACCAGCTGACCCTTTTGGGGATTTCTTTTTGACTTGCATATTTTTACCTTTTGACCTTGGGAGCATTTGTAAAAACGGGTTCTTATAGATGAGACGTATGAACGGATATGGCGTCTGAGCTTCTGGCATTGAATGATTGTCGATTTGGGTACATTAAAAAATTCTATGACGAAACCGTCTGGTAGACTCGTCTATCTACAGGCAAGGACATGGCCAGGTATATGTACGTGTAGTACGGACTGCATGTGGGAAATACACACACCTTATGAGCTTGACCACGTTTAACACCTTGCCGTAATCTATTCATGCTGACCGGTATCAAGGATACGAACCAAGAGCTATTAAACAAAGAAGTGAGCCATCATTGCGAATCCACCAAAGCTACGTCTCTCAACACTCCATATTGACCCAGTTCACAAAGAGCCTCTCTCTGAAGCAAGACGAGATGAATATCCGGTGACTTTTACAGTCAGACGGAACCATGACCTACACTATGCGCACCAACCAAAACACTCGTGGGCGGCGCCAGTGCGACTGCCAATCCACAAATAGCAGCACCAAAGATGCTGAGAAGGCATTAGCATCGAAATCGGCTTATTCTCACTCAGTTCCACTAACATATTGAAATGCACCATTCCAATGGCGAATACCGTTCCGGGAACGTCGGTTTGCATCGAGACAATAAATGCTCCCCCTATTCCTACAAACCAACTGGGGGTTATATTCCTGTTTAATAAGTTCCGGTCCCATAGCCCTCCCGAAATGTGAGGATACAGATTTCCTCTGGTATCGACCAGGCTTGATGAGTCATGGTCAATGTAGTCCAAGCTTGACCAGCCAACGACCGCGATTAGGACCAGCATTATCAAGGTGAAAAAGACGCCACGAAACACGTACAGAGGATCCAGACGAGCCTTGATTGTGCGCAAAAGACCATGGCTGAACATCAAAACTGCCATGAAACCAGAGATCAGACCGGCAGCCGCCTGAACAGGGTAAATGGCCCAGGCAGTGTATCCACAAAGAATGCCTTGGATGCTGCACTCCTCTCTACCTGCCTGATCCCTGGCCTTTTTCCACGCGACCAAAGATGCTACGCAGAGGACAAAGTTTGTCACGCTGTAAAGCGCAAGGAACATGAGGAGTGCAAATGTGGTTGTGCTCCTCGTGCCCGACGGCGTAGACATTCTAGAGGCGTTGGACGGTAGAATGGAAAAAAAAAGGGCGGGGGGCCCAGGAACGAGGCCACGAAGGCTCCCGGAAAGCGGCCGATCACGATTGGTGAATGAATGATGTATTGATGCTGTAGCCTATGTATCGTAGAAAAAATTCGAGATGCGGTCAAGTAGCGAGGATTGCTGTCGATGAATATGAGGGAGCGATAGAGGCAAAAGAAGCCGAAGAAGACGTGACTTTGATTCGAAACATTCAAGTTGCGATTTTTCCGGTCTCGTAGCTTTGTGAGCCGTGGTTCCTTCCGGCACACTCGCCATCTGGACAAGGCGGGAAGGAGCCATATAAATATAGAAGGAGCACCCCTTATCTTCGTCTTTTAACAACCCAAGTATAAATTTTGGTACAGATATCATCACCCCACGATTACTTGATTTGATTCTGCGTCTCGGAGAGTGATATCCTCGTAGCGATGTACGTTCCTGCTACAACCGCTTCTTCACGGGCAGATGGCAAGGTGTGGATACAACCCAGCCTGCGTGTAAGGCGAACTCGACCAGCAGAGTCCCTGTCCTGCCAAGAAAATGAGCCACTCAAAACGGAAATGTGAAGAGCAACGTCTTGGCATTTTCCCCATCACCGTCCCGAAAGACATCAACATGGTATAGTAGCACGCTGATAATGTTGGCCTTGATGATAGATGAAGGAATAGAGAAGAGTTGCACACTGTCGTACCTGAATAACTTGGTATGGATTTCCCTTACAATTATGGATAACCTGCTTTAAAGGTCTTGACTTGAACTGCGTTGTTGAATGGAGTAATTCGGACATGATGTGTTTGAATTAGTTCTGAAAAATGGTCTACATGATGACTTTTCCAATATTTTGCACTCGGAATGGTACATGAGCGTTCTCTGTGCGACTTTACCCGATGAATATAACTCTCACTCCGAGAAACTAGTTGCCGAAAACGCAGGCATAATACGACATGTCTTGATAGGAAATATGCGGACTGTACCATGTGACTTTTCTAGCCGTGAATATTTGTCACTACTTTATTTACAAAGCAGCCCAAGACGCTCTTTCAAATTATCGCAGCAACGCCTGCAACCAGCGCACCAGCACGCCAAATATTGAAACTACCCGTCGCCGCAGCAGCAGCGCCCCTGCTCGACAATGTCGTGGCAGTTGAGTCGGTTCCAATAGTAGCCGTGGTCACCAACGTCGTAGTGGCAATGGCGGTGAATGTCTGTCCATTGCTGGTCCAAGTAGAGGTGTACGGCTTGGCAGTGTAAGCCCAAGTCGTCTGTTCAGGGGCCGAGCCGCCAGCGACAACGGCAGCCTTCGCAGTGGCCGTGTATGTCTGGCCGTTGCTCGTCCAGCGTGTACGACTTGGTAGCAACAGCCGTGGCCTGGGTGGCCGAGGTTGAATCGGACTGAGAGCCGCCATTGCTCAAGACGCCGCCGACAGGGCCGCCGGGGGAAGATGTGCTGTTAGGAGCTTCCATTGCAAACCAGAGAAAGCCTCAAAGGTATTTCCCGTCTTGGGGGCATTGATGGCGCCGATCATGCCTACGAAGCAAATCAGCCTTACTGCTGAGAAACTTCAAGCTTGTTGAATAGGCTCATACAAGAGACGTACCCTCTTGGCAGTGATTAGCCTGGCCACAGTAGAACCAGATGGGCTTCGTGTCCTTGACTTCAATGATGGTGGTGGTTTTTGAGAGAGACTCGGTGGTAGGCAAGAAGCCGGAGAGAAGCCTCCTTCAAGGGGATGGCAGGGATCGTTGAAGGACGATTGAGTGACGGTGTGGTTTTGGGGAAGTAGCGAAACTAGATCTTGGTGCCGACGGCGGCTTCAAAATTGGACGGGTTGTATAGGAGTTTGCCGTTCGCACCGACTTCTACTTTGATGGTTTTTGCCTCTTGGGCGGCGATGGGGGAAGCTGCCAACGCGAGAACGGCGATGAGCGAAGAGAGCCGCATGCTTATAATAATATTGGCCGGGAAGTGTGTGAGAAGGAGTTGTATAAGTAGGCCTGGGAGGCTTTTCCTTGATCGTGATTGGCAAGAGGACAAGGAAGAAAGAGGGCATTTCAGTTTATATGACGACCCGACCTCCAGCCATATAAGCAGAACTTGAAATCGCTTCCTCTTGATTTCGAGCTGACTTGCGTAGATTTGTTTGAGTAAACGCCACGACGACGACTCTATTAGCTAAAACTCCAAACATCGACCATGTCTGTCAGCCCAACCAGGCACTTGGATTCTCCTTGTAGCTATTCCGGAAGACGGCATTGCCGCCACTGCTTGAATGTGGGTATAAGTCTGCTTGCTCTCCGAATCAGCGAGCAAGTGCTTATTCGGCTCAGCTACCGGTGGTTGAGCTTCCAGACGACAGACTGACACTGCCTGGCCCGGCCGCAATCAGAGCGTCGTTACACACAAGGAGCAAGACCGGCAGAAGCTTCTCCAGGTAGGCTGGGGGAATTTATCCGCAAATTGTTGGACTGTGAGAAGCCAGGTCCCTACTAGTTGAGGCGTGGACTATGCATATGCTAACCGACACCAAGCCCCAGAGGAAATACCCGAAACCGCCATTTACTCAAAGGAAACCAATGGCTAATTACAAGGATAAGAAATCATATTGAAAAGAGACACACTTCGAGAATAGGCGTCGTTGGCCAGGGTAAATTTGCCCTTTATGTGGGTGGCACTGCGCCTCTCGGCACGGTAACCAGCCGCGCCATGAAATGATGCCAGGAGGACGGAGCTTGAGAGGCGGCAAATTAGGCGCGAAGAACAAGGAATGATTCTGGAAAATGACAGTACCGCCTTGTTCGTTATTGTCTGAACATTTGGGAGCTATAGATCGGCGCAGGGGCCGCTCGTCCCGACTTGGGCTCTGCAAAATCCTTCAAATGTCGCGATGAACTGACGACTGGAAGATTAGAAAGAGTTCCGAGAGAAGATGGGTGAGAATTCTTCCTTGTGCTTCTTTCTTGGAGATATTTTAAGGAAGGTTCAGAGTTCATGAGCCGGGAATGGCGTCGGGCGTCACGATAGTACCCCTGGAGACATTTCGTCTCTTTTATTTGGATGCCGCGATTGGAAGGACGGCAAAAACAACCACCAAGTGTGACAGGTGTCGTGAAGCCTCGAAAAAGTTCACTCCAGGTCAAGCCAGTCAGCGCTGTCATCCATTCCTATAGACAGCCCCTGCTTGCTATAAGGCTGAGGGCCCAGAGTTAAGCCACTTTGAAAACCCGCCAGTCCGCACGAGCCGCGGTTGGAACCGCCAGTTTCAGACCTGGCAACGGGTGTTATTTATAGACGAGAAGTTTTTTAACAGCATGATTCCATTGGCGACTGATTTCGTTGTGGTGATGTATTGTGCAAAGTGGATGAAAGTTGTGGGTTTTACAGACCGGGAGGTTTTGCGTCGTTCTCATGTATCCAGGAAAGAAAAAGTCGGTAAGCTCAGCTGGCCCTTGAATGTCTAGTATCACGCGTCGCGTTGGTTCTTTTCTTTTCCTATCGTTATGCCTCGTCCTCGTTTGCGGTCCCAGTGTTTGGCAGTGCTTGGGGAGGCATATGACAGGTCGCCGGCGTTGACGTAGAATCAACAACACTTGCCATGGCACTTTTAGCCAATTCCATTTTCGGATAGTATTCCTGATTGTATGCAGAAAGGCTTCTTTTCCCGCGTAGTCTCTTGAAAGAGGTGCTTGTGAGGCGCTTCTTCCTTTATGAAAGAGGGTAGATGTGCTTGAGTTTCCCAGGTATTGACTTGCACCATGGTTAAGATCTCACATGCCCAGAAGTTGACTTCGTAGTAGCAATGTCACTGCACTCGCAGTAGAACCTTTACACATGATTCAACGTCCATCATGCCCGCCTCAAGAGGTGAGAGCACCTACTGGCTGCTGTATTGGGAGACAAGCTCGAAGAAACAGAAGCAACCATAATGCGTTTCGAAGAACTAATCTCGCCCCTCGTCAGCTGTCCCGATTTGTCATCGACGCTCATTGTCACATTGTCACATAGAGTCCTCTCGTGTCTGCACCAGCAACTTGCGTAACAACGCCAGCGTATATCGGCGACCAGAGACCATCCTCTTCGCAACATCTGATTCGGTCATCTTCACCTGCGCGTGCATCGTAAGTCTTCTCAGGTTACTTTCCATGTGACATGAACAACTCTGCTCCAGTTGAATTGGATTGAATCGACGAGCAGACATTTCTGTCCGCCGTGCCCACAGAAAAGGAAGACCAAGTTAAGTGCTTTATCTGGTTGCAACTATTCATACTTCCTTTCTTTAACAGCCATGTCATCGAATATTCCTGCGCAATGTGTACTGCTGGCACAGTGTATGCGTGCGTGATCGTCTTGCTCCATATTGTCTCTCTTCTCAGCCGCAGGCTAGAAGCAGTACTTCACCTTGCTGACAACCTGGTTTTCTACAGATAGAGGCAAGCCGAAGGGATGTATGCCCGTGACTAATGAGAAATTTGATGCGTACATTTCTGGTCCTCCTGCAGCGGCTCTGCGTAGGGATTGCGGTCTTCTTTACCTTCCGGATGTTTTTGGAATCTGGCAGAACAGCAAACTCATGGCAGATGGATCCGCCGCCAAAAGCTACACTTGCGTCATCCTCGATATATCCAACGGAGACGCTTCAAGTCAAGCAATTCCAAGTTTGTCGATGTTTCTCTCTGGTTAAGAGAATGGCGACAATCCGCATACATCTGAGCATGTTGATCCAGTTGTCCTCGCCGGAATACAGATGATGAGAGAGCTCGGGTTTGCAAGGATCGGAGCTGTGGGCTATTGCCTTGTAACAAAGGTGAAATAGACTCATCTACTCCCTCCTTTCTACCCCGTATACTTGGAAACGCTTTTGCCTCAGCAAACTGCGATAGTATGTCGATCGTCACTGTGCCAGTAGTATCAGCTGTGCCTAACCTTCTTGGTCTCGAGGAAACAGAGCTCTCTGCTTTGTCTGGTCCTATCTCCATGGTCGCTGCTGAGCACGGTCCTGCATTTACCAAGAGCCGCGCTACAGGACGGAGGATATCCCGCGCAAGTCAAAGTAGCCCTTCCAGATCAGCGTCTTCTCAGGCGTGGAGCACGAATTTGCGGTCCGTGGGAATCCTAGGATAAAAGCGCATTGCTACGCCAAAAACCAAGCTTTCTTCAGGCTGTGGCATGGTTTGATTGTCTTTTGGGGGTGGCTGATGACACAGCTCATATATAGCCTAGCATTTGGGTATCTCGATGTAGTTTCTTTGCAGTTGACAGCTCCTTCTTTTGTCATTGAGGTGTCTTAATGGACGATGGAATTCCGGGTTTCTGTCCGAGTGTTAATGCTAGGTAGCAATTACTAGATGAATCCACAAGGGCCATAACCGTAGCAGTCATCTCTTCAAGACGTTGTATCGTTTCGTCCGCTTTCGCGCTTGGCAGAACATTTCTCTTCGATTTTTCCCTCCTATTGTCGACAAATACCTGCAGGGCATCTCTCTCCACTTCACCCAGTAACTTGATGCTTGTTCTCAGAAGTTTTTTATCCAAATACCTTCTTGTCTCCGAATGCCCGCCCAGCCATATAACTTGCACTCTCATACGGCATGGGAGCCATGTGAGAAATTTGGTACGTATAAATGGGTAACCACACATCGTCAGGATGGCGTTGCATGGTCTAGCTTGGTCAAAACAGCAAAGTGTACTTCACCCTATACCGCATGCTCTACACAGTTTACTTAGTACGGGCTGATCCCTCCGTATACAGCAACAAGTTGCTCCCATGATACGTGAGTGCCATAGACTAGAGCAGACACCAACCGAGCATCGCACACCGCGCGATGCGGCCGGCTATAGGTGCACCGGTGAGTAATTTCAGCCTGTACAGTGCCGAGAATGTCGGAAAGAGTTGTTTTCTGGGCGTCAGACGGCATTGACCTCCTCCCCTCATCCTCAAACTCTCGCAAGCAGCCGCGAACAGCGTCTCTAAAGTCAATAATGACCTGGTTTTCTTGGTCCGGCAAGGCGGGAAATGTGATAAACTCAGGTGAAACAGCCAGACGCTCCAACGGTGCAGTAGCAGTCCGACTCCAATCGATGACACCCGTCAAGTTGTACTGGTCGTCGAATAAGAGGTTTCCATAGTGAAGGTCGAAGTGGCAGAGAGGAAAAGGTCCGCGAACCCTGTCCTCGACAACGATATGCGAGATGGCCGTCTTCAAAACCCAGCAGGCGGCCTTCCACTCTGCGTCATGGGCATGTTTTTCAAGAGCCTGCCGGTTTTGTTCTTGTCTGAGCTCGTAGAACCACTCCAGGGATGTCTGGGTGCGTGGCGTGGCCAATGAATCAGTATCCCACTCGTATGGGATGATCCGTGGTGGCTCATTGCAGTTTTCACCGCACCATATTCGCCCAAGCTCATCAAAAGTCAAGTTTTCCAACTGGAACAAGACGTTTGCCAATTGACGCACAACATGTGTTATGTATTTAGCCGGCACTTCGCTCGCAATGGTTGAGCTGAGGATCCGACCCTTCAGATGCTCCATCAGGAGGCAAGGGAAGCCAAAGTCATTTGCTGGAGAGGTGTCAAAGGCGTAGACTCGTGGCACTGGTATAGTCGTACGGATATTGAGTGTTTTCATTGTTGCGATTTCACTCAGCATGCTTATCTTGTGCTCTTGGGCATGAGACGGATCCGCGGGCGTGTGCTGAATCCTCGCTATCCAATCGACATTGTCGGAGAAGGCGACCCGTAGCACAAGATTGTTCATCCCGTGTGCAAGGAATTTTGTATCGATGGAGCAAGTGATTGCCCGATCTAGACTGTCACCTTGAGCCCGGCGTGAGAGAAGAGCCACCTCTTGAAGATATGTAAAGTTTGCGGTACCCAGACGGTGAGAATTTGCTCGTGAGCCTTGTTGGCGCGGGCATTCAGACTGTCGGTTGCGGCCCAGCCTGGGCCTAGGGGAGTAGCTGTCATAATGGCGTTATGTTTGAGAAACGCGAATGAGAAACGGTTCTGTGCTACACCGTCATCAAGAGAGAGTTTCAGGGCAGGCCATCTCGTTGCAATTGGAGACATGTGCCTTGACAAGATCAGGAGGGAAGAGAAGAGAATTAGCCCAGAGATGAAGAACCAGGGGGGGAAGGCAGCCACGGAGACTTCAAATGCCCCGCGCCAAAAAGGCTGTTGAGTTGAGTTGATGCAACCATTCCGAGTCTCCCCTGATGGTGAATGTTGACAGATCCAAAATCTAAGCCACGATCTCGGTCCCGCCGCCTCAACCGACTCCACCACCCGGCCAAGATTGTGCGTGAAAATGTTGGCTTCTCGTGACAAAACTCTCCGCCTTGCCATAATTGCATTCGCAAAGCATACAAATGAGGATAGGATATCGGGATGGCGAGTACTGGGCTCTGGGTAGTCTGACGTAGGTGAATTGGGAAGTGTGGATTTTTCTAGTACGTCGTTGATGAATCCTGTCCGGGGTGTCGACACCCGTAGACCGGTCGTATAACGTGAGTTGGCATGAGCAGAGCCTCCAGTCTCAAGTAAAAATAAACCAACGCAGCGCCCTGACCAAGATACGCTGAGCAATCGATTGGCTCCATCCTTATTTTGTCAGATAGGCCAATTTGAAGAGTTCCATGTATAGAGTATGCTAGAATGCTGATTTGTGCAAGGCAGACATATCTATTTAGAGAAGCAAAGTGATCCTAAAGGCCTGCGCTCTGGTTCTCTTCGTCATCAGCCATAGGCACATCTACGCCTCCCAGCAACTATTCATTTAGTTCAGTACCCTAGAGATTGTATCCTGAGAGATGCACTTGCTAGGTCAGGTCAAACGGTGTCTTCTCACTCTTCAGCTATGAAGATGAATCATAAGCTCTCGCCCCCCCAAAGAGTAAACCGTTTGCACAACAAGCAAACGGGTCCTTTTAATAACACTAGTCTGGCCCCTGTATACTCGTGTTTGTCACCAAGGATAACCCGGTGCCGGTTTTGCCCAGCAGTCTTTCACTGTGCCATGTCCAAGTGAATGTATTCGTGGCACCGTTTGGGAACAAGGGCATGGACATGTGCAAACGCGAAAGAAGCAAACCCTCTTCTTAATATTTAAACTGGTCCAAATCTCACCTTCGATCCCGTCTGTACATCATCAGACCGTCTTATGTCTCCAGTAACAGATACGCACACCACATCAGAAAACCTCAAAGAGACGAAGACTAGCAATGTATTCAGCGTACGTACCTCTTGTGTTTATGAATGAGTCTTATCGAACCTGCTCTTGTGCCTGACTAATGATACGATAGGATTGCTAGTTCCAAGCCCTATCGGTTCCTTGTTGGCCCTCAGAGGCGCAAGTTCACGATTCATTGTGCAGTCGCTGCGAGAGTATCTCCCTATCTCGAGAAACTGGTCAATGGAGATATTAAAGAAGGAAGTGAAAAGCAAGTGCAGTGGGAGGATGTGGATGAAGAGACATTTGTCTGCTTCTGGCAGTATGCTTACACGGGCGACTACGATATTCCCAGGGAGCCAAAAACACCAGAGGTCGCAATTGAAGATGAAGGCCAAGGTGGGAACGAGATGAAAAGCCCTGAAAACACAAATGAAGCTTGTGACGGTGTGGATGTCGCAGCATTCGAAAGAAGCACCAATAAAAAGGTCCGGCCTTTCATGAGTAAGGAAATAATGAAGAAGAAGTGCACCAAAAGAAAGTTGGCCGAAAACCCTCCGGAGGAGGCGATAGCGGAAGAATGCTGGATGGAGGCAAAGTTTGAGCCGCCATCGAAACGAAAGCAATTGTGGGAAGTCTTCACAGCTCTCCGGTTAACCAGCGGTCATCAAGTCGTGCTCAACCCGGAACAGGAGAGCCAGGGACATGACTTCGACGCTGGCGATTTACTCTGCCACGCGCGAGTATACGCTTTTGCCGACTGCTACGGTATTTTCGAGCTGATGGAGCTGTCTTACGATCGAATTCATCATACTCTGTGCAACCTCGACCTGCGCACCGAGACCTTGGCCGATATTATAGCCTTGGTGCATTACTGCTACGAAACGCCGGCTCCCCCCGACTTGAAGGAGCTCGTTGTGCTCTATTCTGCATGCAATATCGAGACACTTTGGGTTGACGAGCAGTTCCAGCATATAATCGAGACCCATGGCGATCTATCGCGGGCTGTTATTGCCTCATTGCTTGGCCGTCTTGACTAAATGGCCTCATGTGGCTGCCATGAGTGGCCCACTATGAGACTCTGGAACTTGGCATCTATCATGTAGTTGGGTTAAATTGAATAATAAAAGAGGAGATTCGTGAGGTTCGGCCCAAGGTTCAGGAATTGGAAGTCAAAAAGTAATAGTTGTGTCTGAATCCTAGACTTGGCCCGCGAGATGAAGTCGGACTTACTCTTTATATTGGCCAATAGGGAGTAAGCTGACTATTACAAGCAAATGTCGAACATTGGCAATATATCTTGCTTTCCATTCGCGGCAAACTCGGGGCCAATGATGCAACTCCCGCTCTTTAATATCTAGCAAACCGCGGTCGGTGGGTATAAATATCGCAAGACTAGCGAGACTGTTTGTTAATATAGATGACAAGACATGAACCACGGTATTCTTTGTACAAGGCTGCTGTCTTTGAGCCTCATCCTCGTAGCCTCCCCATGCGTCGACTACATTCTCCCCGCTAATGTCGACAGTAATAAGTGCCAGCTTCTCTTCCCCTTTGACACACAATCCCCTCACATCACCAGACATCCGGACGAGTACACTTCACTCACAACTTCGCCTTTGCTTCCCTCTGTGATTGCTCCCATTGCCGATTTATCCTTACGTTTCCCCATATCCTCCACGCGGCCGCAGCCAAAGCCAGCGGAGGGCAGCCCAGCAACACCCACGACCACCACTCCGGACTGCTCTCCCTGATCTGCTTCATGGCCTCGCCCAGCTTGGCCTCCAACTCGTCCTTGGACCCGTCATTCCACAAAACCACGCCGTTCCCCTGCCCTCGCTCCATGCACCTCTGCGCCTTGACCCTCACGTCCGCCTGGCTGCGCACCCGATTCTCCGCATCCTCCCTGCTCAGATGGGCGTCCCTCTCCATCAGCCGCTTCATCTGGATCTCGGGATCCGACACGGCAACCACCATGGTCACCCCGCAGAAGCGATCCAGCTTGCTCTCAAACAGGAGCGGGATGTCAAGCACCACCGCCCAGTGGCCGCGGAGATAGCACCCCAGGACCATTTTGAACATTTCCCTGCGCACGGCCGGGTGCACGATGCCGTTGAGCACCGCGCGGTCCCTTTGCAGCTGCTCGCCGTCGCCAAAGACGCGTTTCCCGAGGGCGGGACGGTTGAGCGGCCGCCCCTTGCCGTCGGGGCCGTTTTCCGGCATGGAATCCGACGGCTCGACTAGGAGATCCGGCGTCGTCGGGCCAAAGTATTTGACGATGGCATTGTAGCCGCTTGTGCCGGGCTCGACCACCTTGCGGGCGAGAACGTCGGCGTCTACGACGGGGAGCTCATAGGGCGTAGATTTGAGGAGCGACGAGACGGTTGATTTGCCCGTTGCAATGGAGCCTGTTAGTCCGATGAGGAGCATTTTTCTTTTTCCTTCTTTTTTTCTGGGAAACTGCACGGGGACCACTTGGGGGCGGGCGGGGAGGGTCAGGTGTGAATGCGTGAAACTGTGCTGATGCAGGCTGATGCGTCTATGAGCTATGAGGTGTGAGGTTGACAGGGCCGAGCTGTCGTTTCCCTCCAGCCCTCCGAGGTGAGGAAATAGTATGAGAGAGCATGCGTTGTCTGGAGCTAAGAATCAAATATTTAGTGTCTGACTGGTGCATCTGCGTTATGCAACCCCGGCATCTAGCGTCACTGAGCTGTTGGTTGGTGCGGGGTTCGGGTGAAGCTCCAGCACGAGAAGAAGCCGAGCTGCCAGCCGGGAAGGAGCCAGACACCACCAATTGATGCAAATTGCCGGCCTCTACTCCACCAAGTGCATCCAGCGCTACCAACTTGACAGTAAAGACAAAGCTGCAGCGTGCAGCCTAAGAATATTGAAGCAATTGGTACTTGGGACCATTGACTATTGCCTAGTATTTCCCCGCAGAGGACGTCGCCTTTGACCGACATCGGATGCAAACGACTGTCCGCATGCCTTAGCAAACCGATAAGGAGTCTGCCGGAAAGCCCAGTCCCAAGATAAAGGCGTAAGATATAGAACCAAGACTGAAAATGTCAACTGGTCCGTGGCAACTATTGGCTCCCAGCGGGAGATTGGATCAAAGAACCAAGGATCTGGCTGGTAGCTGCTGCCGCCAAACGGCTCAAGTGCCCCCACGTCACCCAAATTCGGCCCTCAACCATTTCTGAGCGCCGGATATGTCTCCATGTTTCGCATTGCAGTAATATGTACTTCGTATTGCATAAATACGTCGTAGGGCACGGCACGGGAAAGCTCCACGTCACACAAATCAGCAGATACATTGCCGATTATGCGGCCATCCGTATTGTTTGCAGGCTTTCCACAAGGTAGCGTCGCATGATGCCACCTCATCGCACGCCACAAAGCACTGCCGGGCGTGGCACGACAGCTGGATCGAGTACAAAAATAGTTGAAAGTGTAGAAAATGGACCCAACTCTAGCAAACCCTATCCGGCCCGTCCGGCAAGTTTCTTGAATACTTAATTTGATGATGGGCCTCGCACCGGCGTTCTCGAAGCACGCGCCGTTGAAATTTGGATGGGCGGAACAGTCTCACTCGAATCTTGCTGATCTGGGGCTGGCCAGCGCCACAGATCGAGGGGTGGCCTGTTGCCTGCTCCTCGGTTAAGGGTCACATGCACGGCATTCCTGGTCGCTCTAGTAACAGTCTTGGGCAGTCAGCGTCCATCTGACACAAATGCACCATGACTGTGTCGTCGACTGGGTTGCCAATCTGGGCTTTCTCGACATCTGGCCAAAAGTCGAGGGTTGACCGCGGTTATGGTACGAGGACGAGAGGGAAGGGGCTGCGGAGGGATCCTGCCGCACCCGTCCAGTGAAGGTGTGGGGATTTGTCAGTTGTCCCCTCCTCGAATGTCGAAAGCATCAAAACGCCAAGTTGCTTTGACTGCATGCTAGATTCGTAGGTACCCAGGTACCTAGTAACTCTAAAGGACGGAGAATGACTGAGCTTGAATTTCCAAGTGCTTGCTGCCTTAAATCGAGGCGGCTCCGCAATACCCCGGTGGCTTTCGGTCCAAGTCCCCTAAGCTCCTCGGCCCAGATGTCGACCTGGGATCCACGTCCAAACGGCAAAGTACACATACAATTATTACAATTATTATCTACGGAGTACACGGAAAGATTTACAATTCTAAGCTTCACCCCGCGCGCAACTGCTGCATATCAAGTTGACTGTAAGAACACAGTAGACTGTTAGGCTCGTATTGAGCCGGCAGAACCGGCGTCAGATGCGAGCGAGGTCAGGCACCACATGGAGGACGTGCTCAAGTACTCGGTACCTCAGTTATTACCGAGCAGACATGGGCAGTCGAACGCTGCCAGGGATGGCGCGTCAAATGTGTCTGGCGCACAGATGCCAGACAGATTTTGATGCGGGGGTTGCAGCGTCACATTGAGAGCATGTGAAAGCCGCGACCAGGACTCCCAAAGCTTGACTCTTGTCCGCGGCCGCTTTCGTGGCCACTCGACGCCTTCGACGCCCTCAACTTCACGCGGCGGTCGACGCCCGCCAAGGGCGATTATTGCTGCAGAATTGCGGGCGAATCACAGGCCGAGCCACGTTGACGCCGTGGATGCGCTTGCTGCCTTTGAGTGCCGCCTTTGTGCCTGAACTTGCATATGCTTTTGTCTACAGCGGTCCGGATGTCCCCAGGCGCCGCCCACTGCCCACAAGCTCATGAGCCCACCCTCATGCTAACCTCTACCCTTGAAGCGCCCCACCACCCCAACGCATGTCGCCCCATAAAGAACATGGAAGCACCCACATTCTATCCTCCCATGGCGAAGTGTTTCTCTATCGTGTTGTTGCTGCAGCTCTGCCTGTTCTTTAAACACTCCCTCGTTCCTAGTTCTCCTAAAGCACTCCATCATACTCCGCACTCAATTTCAATTTTGGTTTATGGATATAGTTTTCAGCATATGAGCGACAGGCACCAACCTACAACTCTCCCTCGACGTAAATCGCCCTTCTGAGCCCGAAACACCCTTCGCCGGAGGGAGGCAAAGGAGGGACACAGCTTGATAGCTCGCCCGGCCTTCGTTCTGGCTACTCTGTTTTCAACTTGGCGACCTTCTGTGAAAGTCTTGCAGTGGTCACCTTGTGCAACTCGCACAGTCGCAGACCCTGCGCTGACCAGCATATGCTTAATGCTGGCTAGCCAATCTCGCACACCTCGAGACAAGCAGCCCAGGGTACTTCGACCTTTTCGCCGCCGACGGTCAGATAGAATCGCTGATCTTTCCGCTCTCACCTTGCAGTCCGCGCCCATTAGTTTGCCATTCTGCGCAGTGCCTTAAAATTAGAAGTGGTTTTCACTTGGGCTTCTGGATATCAAATAACCATGAGCGACGACGAACCCCAGCTCGTGCGACCGATTCCCCGTCGACCATTCAACCTAAATCTCACGAGTGCGACACCCCCCGACGATGACCTTGCTGATGACGATGAGCCTTCTCAGGCTAGCTTTGGTTCCTGCCTTGATTTTTCAAGCCCAAGATTCTTGCACCCAAGCTTTGACCGGTCCGACTCTACAGCATCACTCAGCCGCCCGCAGTCCTTCATGAATTTGACTTCGTCGACCTTGATGGGAATATATTCCGAGGCAGCGTCCAGCAGTAGAGATCGCTTCTTCAATGGCTACGACGAACCAGATACGCCTTGGGGAACTGGTGCACGCACTCCTATCAGACGTCCCAGCATCAACGAAGCGACTTACGAGCTGATGCGCGATCGCTCCCACGTTCCCAGGCGAATATCTTCTTTTGGGCCCTATGCGCGGGTTGAGCAGGCCGTATCCCATTCCGCTCTTGGCTCCGTTACGTCCCTCACACTCCGTGGCACTTTGTTGTTCTTACTCGGCTTAGGCTACGGCGCCCTCGTCACGCGTCTTCACAACGAGCAGAACCAATTGCCCCAGATGCCTGACGACAGCATTTTAAAACCCGGGAATAACTGGAAATACCTCGCCTTTTGGGGTGTAGCTGGCATTGGGTTGGGCTCATTACTACCATGGTTCGACAAGCTGTGGGAGGACACCTTTGGCAACGAAGAGGACGACAATGTTGCTGACAAGGGAGCTAGCCCGGGGACGGACTGGGCTTTGGTAATGCGAGCTATTGGCGCATTTGTTGGCATCATTTTTGCCATTGTGAGTCCAAAATCCAACATTGGCGTCTCGATACCAAAATGCGCAACTGACAAATCCTTCCAGCGCAAGCTAGCATGGGTATCTACCCTTCAAGTGTCAGCGACATTGGCATTGGTTAACCCCCTGTTATGGTGGCTCATAGATCGCAGCAAGCCTGGGTTCGTGCTGTCTGCTGCAGTTGGCTTGACCGGTTCGATTCTCCTTCTCGGCGTTGACCCTGAGATAATGCCTGCGCCATCGGGACTGCCTACTCGTAATTCTTCAAATGCCTTTCATAGCGATCCTCTTGCATTAGGTGGCTTAGCCACGCAAGAAACGGTTGAAACGGGGGTGTGGATGCTCAGCGTGCTGTTTTGCAGCTGCCTCTGCTTTGGCAATATTGGTCGCAGACTGACGTGGAACAGATCGACCGGAAGATGGGGCGGAGTCCGATAGGCCACATGGCGACCAGGCCCTTGGAGGATATTAATGTTGCATTTCTTTTTTGGAATTTTGTGTATTGTATTAGTTAATTGTATCTTTAAGTTCATGATACCCGCATGGCTTGGTTATAAGAGAACCATGAGGAATATAGGAACGGCCGGGGCGAATACCGGGCCAGTATCTCAACTTTTGCGATCTATTGGATTGCATATATGTATTTGATGTCTCTGTGTTTTGCGAACTACGCCGGACTCTAATCGGTGATAAGCTCTCACTTCTTCTAGAGCAACCAGACAAATAGTCCTTTTCCGTCAACACGGCCGCGGTCGCGTTTCCGACGATTGCCGATACTCTAGCCTCTGTGTAGCTGACCAGTTACAAGTGTGGCCTTGCGATACCCCAAAACAGGCAAAAATTGTAGGTGGTTGTGATGCCTATTCCGGAGCTGCACGCAATCCAAGACTTGGCGAACGCAGTATGCGACAGGATATATCTCCAGGCACCGAACTCAATGGTCGATGTTACTGCATGCAACGTTCGAGAATTGGCTGGTAGTGTCCACTAAATTAAGTAAGTTACCAGGGTAGCTTTTGAACGATACTTGGTCATGTAAGTAGTAAGTTGTAACTCAAAATCATCGGCTTGCAACGGTCAGGCAAGTAGCCCACTGGTGCAACCCACCACTTCAGAAGTGACGCCAATGACTTTCGCCTAGGGAACCGTTGGCGAACAATAAAGAAAACACATTATGCCTCTCCATCTGACACAGGTAGTATGATCACAGGAATGGGGTGCCGCCACCAATCTAGAAGTTCGCGAAGATGAGAAGCCGTGACTAGTGGCGATGATGAGAATGACGTCTTGTACGCGGATCGTGGCCAGTCGTGACTGCTCATTCCATCAATCACCCCCACTGTGGGCCCACAGGTTGTCGGGGACAGCTAACAATTATTCAGGGTCCAGAATGACGATTCGGAGAGTGTGTCTGTCTGATGTAGGTTTTCCAGGGACGCTGAGGATTTAAGGCATTGGAACTGTCTTGAGCACTAAAATTCAAAATCAAGAGCGAATAATGTTCGCAAAAGTTTTGTGAATGAGCCGTATTCCCTTCGCTCCTGCCCATCTTTGTGTGACATGACATATGACGTAGCCTACCAGACGTGTTCAGATAGGCTCGGTGGGAAGGTGCGAGCTGCCTGCTTCTCCAATCTGATAGAAGCGCTAGCTGCTCGGCTACGCATCAAGTTGGATATATAGAATTTGAATATAACCACGCAGCTTCACACCATAGCCAACGTCGGAGCGTCATCAAAACCCAAGGATTCCCCTCCCTCCCCAGCGCAAAGCAGCGGTCGGGAGAACGCCGGACACTGGAGGCCACTCGGCGCTTGCAGTCGACACAGTCGACACACTCCATGCATGACGATGACTTTCCACCCCCATAAGAGTCGGCTCCTACGTCAACGGTATTTCCCCTTCCCTTCGGCTCGACCACTCACATTATCTTTTCATCTTCCAACGCCACCCCACCGACTTGGGAGCTGGCCCGTTATTGTGGAGATATCGTGTTTTACCACCCGAGGAAGTTGGATCTCGATGATATGAGGTGAACTTCGGCAGGCATATTGTCTGTCCAACTCTCAGCCTTACTCTTCCACAAGAGAGAACACGAAGATCTTAAACGGAACAAAATATCCTTTTTATCTATTTCCGCCTCTTCACCTTCCGGGCGCCTGTTTTTCTCTCTTGTAGTCGTGGCCATAACTCTTAAGCGATCGGTGCGCAACCTTGCTCCTTTCGTTTCAAAACCGCTCAGCCCAAGTTGTTATAGGTGTCTACATCCTCCGTCTAGCAGCCTTGTCGGTCTATCCTCGAGTGGTGGCGTCCTTCACAGGCTGGCATATTTATCGGCCGAAACCCGACCTGCCGATGCCTGCAGACCCCAACTTTACCAGAGACTTTCAATTCTCAGAGCCTTCCAGCCGACAGTAAGGCTCAGTCTTCACTGACCAAGATAACTGGGACCATATCTCAACCTATTACGCGACACAATAGACTCTTGTCTTTGGCTGTTTCAGGGAGCTATCATCTTCAAATTTGCACTCGACTTGAACAACCCGTTCGTCAAGGCTGCTTCCCCCAATTCTAATGCTCATGACATCACGTCCTCCATCTTCACCGGCTGAGACTCGAGCCGATTGGAATCCAGAAGATACCCAGAACCTCGGGAGTCATATTCAACAACTAGAAGGCGCGATTAGTGAAGAGCAGCATAGCATTACAGACAGCGAGATGCGAGTGGACATATCCGCACAAAACAAAGATGTCCATGAAAGCTTGCCAGACTCTCAAGCCCAACGACAGGAGGAAGAGGATAGTAGATACCAGAATCGAGCGCTGCAACAACAGCAGATACGAGATATTGTCCGCCTCTTCCAATGCCGGCGTTGTTCGAAGCCGTTCAAGAATGCCATAGCTCTGCCCTGTGGCCGAAGTATATGCAGGACGTGCGTTCCTGCAACCCACGTGCGAGCTAGCATCACGTATCCCGCTATTCCGGATCGACTTCGAGGTTTCATGTGCCCTTTCGATGATTGTTCCAGGGAACATGCCCTGAGTGATTGCGGACTCGATGTGGTTCTCAACAAAGTTAGCCAGCTCATAGAAGAAGAAATTCAACGAGGTCAGCGAGCTGCGACACAAGCAAACTTTTCAACAAGTATAGGCTTTCGAGATCCGTGGGGTGTTGCTGGTCTGCCTTCGATGAATGATAACAACCATGTTCCTCGGATTATGCCAGGTGGCCGGCTGGTGGCGACATGGTCTTTGGCCGCAGAAGGAGGGTTGTTAGCCGATGCCGAAGTCACATATGAGGACATTTCGCCAGAAGGCTCTCAAGATGATTTCTCGGATTTCGATGCCAAAGGTTTGAAACATCTGCAAACTATTACTCGCAATGAGGTAGATTGCCAAGTATGCTATGCGTTGTTTCACGACCCATTCACAACGGGCTGTGGGCACACTTTTTGTCGCTCGTGTCTACATCGGACATTGGACCATTCACACCGATGTCCCATTTGTCGTTGCACGCTAGCCATCAACCCGCTACTAAATCCCGATCTATGCCCATCGAATGAATCCATCACTCGGCTAATTGAGCTGTTTTGGCCCGATGAAAAGGCAGCTCGAGACAAAGATGTTGCGTCAGATATCGCTGCGCGGCACCAAGACCTCGACTTACCATTGTTTGTCTGTACGCTTGCATTTCCGTCTATGCCTACCTTCCTCCACATCTTCGAGCCTAGATACCGATTGATGGTTCGGCGGGCATTGGAAGGAAATAGGACCTTTGGCATGGTCTTACCAAAACGTCCCCGAGACGCTGACGACACCCATTTTTACGAACTAGGCACACTCTTGCGAATTGTCAACGCTGAATTCTATCCCGATGGTCGCAGTTTGATCGAAACAGTCGGTCTAACTAGATTCAGGGTTTTGCGGCATGGAGAACTTGATGGGTACACAATTGCAAAAACCGAACGTGTCGACGATATGTCACTAGAAGAGGAGGAAGCTGTTGAAGCTTATGAAGCTGCTGCGGCGACTAGGAATGTTGATGCTGCCGTTCTGAACAGTGGTTCCTCCGCCGGGGTGGACAGTGCTCCCGTAGAAATTTCGGACGAGACCAGGCCAGAGACTGAACCAATAGGCATCCCTCCAATCCCTAGGACAGCGTCAGATCTACAAGCGATGTCGACGCAGAATCTAATGAGCTATGCCACGGCTTTTGTATCCCGCATGCGTGGACAAAGTGTTCCATGGTTAACAGCCCGAATGTTTGGCATATATGGAGAGTGTCCAAGCGACCCTGCTGTCTTCCCATGGTGGTTTGCCAGCATGTTGCCGGTGAAGGACCTCGAAAAATATAGACTATTAGGCACATCTAGTGTTCGTGAACGACTCAAGATTTGTTGCGGTTGGATTTTGGAGTGGGAAAGGACGAGATGGTAAGTAGTGTTACTACCTTTTTGTTCCCTTATAAGCCCCCGTTGCTTTGCCTGCCGTACTCAATGCGCTAGAGCGAATAAGGGCTAAAGAGTTTCAGGGCTAATCTAGTTGAGCCGCGGTTAGGTCATTTCACAATTGCTCTATTCTCTGAGGACTGATGTCCAAGGACATATCCCTTGAAAAAATCCTGTTGTACAAATTGTGTCTGAGAGGCTGAGACTGTTTGGATAGATATATCTCGTTAGCATGACTTTGTTATTAGCATTAGCAGCCTGTATTACTTGACGATGAATAAATAAGGAACATGATATCTCTAGGGTTAATTACCAGCAAATAGAATGAACGGTTGAAGTTCCTGTTGCCAAATGTTCCGCGAAGAATCGACTGTCTATGTTTACTCCCGTCAAGTACATTCCCACTAGCAAATCACTCCAACCAATCTAGTCAGCAACAGTCCATTGCCGTGTCATTTTCCCAAATGTATGCCACGACAGCATCACCACCCAATCGCGTCTACTTTCCCACCCGTACTCGCCGCCATCGTTGCATCCCCCCATACCGGGGCCTCCGCTGGGGCATTCCATGAACCAGGCATTACATTGTTGTGCGCCTCTGCTGAGGGAGCATTATTGTCCTGTACAGTATCTCCCCATTGTGCACCGTTATCATTGTTGCCATTCCGCGCATCCTGATTCTCCCAGGTAGCGTCGCCGGCAAAAGGCTGTCCGCCACTAGGCCAATCACTTCCGCCGTTGTTGCCGCTGTCGTTACCAGTATTATTATTGTTGTTCCAACTTGACTCCTGATTATCTCCGGCATTGAACTCCTGAGAACCGCTCGGCCCTCCATTGTTGTTGCTGTCCCATGCACTCTCCTGCGTCTGATTACCCCAACCGTCTGTAGCTCCTCCGTTGCCGTTTGCATTCATGTCTTCATTACCGTTGCCATTGCCCCAGCCACTCTGCTGCGGCTGGCCTATCTGGCCTTGATTTTCGATTCCGGCAGGACTTGGGTTCTTGAGGCTGGCGTTCCGTACGGAGCCGTTGCTGCCTCCGTATGCACTAAATTGGGATCTGGTCTTGTTTGGAAGATACGAATTGTGCTTCGCAGGAGGGAAGACATTATTCCCGCCAGCAACATCTTGATCTTTACTTGATGGAGCAGCGCCGGCAGTTTTCGTGTTAGGGTTTATCAGACTGAACGCTCCTCTGTTCTGGCTTTGGTTCTGAGTCTGAGTGACTGGCTCCATGTGCGGCCACGGTCCGCCTGGGAAAGCGCCCGGATACCCAGCATATCCCATAGGAGCAAACGCATTCCAGGCTGGCATTGCCATTCCTTGTGTAATAGGCACATGTTCCATACCTGTCTTATCTTGCACTCTGTCAAAACCATGGTAGTACGGGTTCTGAGTCGGATGTGGCATGCCAATTGGCAGAGGTCGAAGTGACGGATCTCGCTTGGGATAAAGAGACTGGTGGTGATGACCGTACACGGGGCCATGATAGATTCTGACAATGTTGTTTTCGGCGTCGTAGTAGGCATTTGGGATTGGATCTTCCGGTGTTTCGATGACTCTTTCTGTATGGACGACTTCTGCACGCATAGGAGCAATGAGGTTCGGACGACGCGGGTGAGGCCCAGGGTATGCCGTCGGGTATTTCCTTTCTCTCTTTTGTTCGGAGTCCTTTTCTTTTGGTGAGGCTTTCTTTTCAGTGGCCTCTGTTGGGGGTTTCTCGGGCTCCTTCTCCGGTTCTTTATCCTTGGGTTTATCGTCATTCTTATCCTTATTCTGCCCATTTTTTGCTTGGTCCTCATTTTTATTCGCATTCTTGTTCTTATCTTCATCCTTCTTGCCCTGCTGCTTGTTTTCCTTCTTCTTTTCATCACCGGAATCATCCGTGTCCTTGGCAGATTCTTCCTGCGACTCCCCTCCCGAACTATCCACCTTGGCTTTCTCCTTCTCCTTGGCCTTTCCCTTCTTGCCGCCGTTCTTCTGACCTTGTTCACGCTCCTCGTTAGTCGTCGCCTCGGTATCAGAATCGGACTGCTTGGCTTTTTTGGAAGCTTTGATTGCTTCCCGCTGCTTTTTCTGCCGGCCGCGAGTACAACTGGAACACTCACAGGTAGGATGGGGCTCGGAGTCGTCCTCGCTATCAGATGGTTTAGCTGCTTCTTTTCCCTTTTCTTTATTCTTTTTGTTTTTACTCTTTGAGGGAGATGGCGGCTCGCTTGCTTTCGAGTCGCTCGACTCGGCCGCGATGTCTGCTTCTGAATCGGTGGGCGTGTCTTCAGACTCAGAAGATGCTGGGGGTTTTTTCAGGGCAGATTTCTTGGGTTCTTCTTCAAAGCGGACTTTTTTCACAGTTACATCCGCATTGGTTTCTGGCTTGGCAGACCTTCCGCTGCGAGGGTAGGTTATTTTGACGGTGTCTTCTTCGGTTTCATCGTCGGTGAACACTTCCACTGTGACGACGTCTCGTTTCTTGCGAGGCTTCTTTGGGATGGGGCCGAGTGCAGATGGGATGGTTGTGCCGACGATATATTCGCACAGTAAGAGAGACTTCGATGGCCACTTCTTATTGCTGGGCATTTTGGGCGGTCTTCTTTGTGAGTTCTTGATTGGGCGAAGTTGAATTAGATTAGCTCTAAGGAGAAATACCCATGGTCCATCGACTAGGAGACTGGGTTGTCGTGGCGTGTAGACCAGCCACTTGTACTCAGGGTGTGCTGATTAGACAAACGATGTGGGTTGTCAAATTGAGATGATATGGTACGAAAGAAGATGAGACGGGCAGAGCGGGACGTGGAGGGAGAATTCTAAGCCAAGCTGTGAAGACAGCTGGCTACCAGCTGTCAAGCATGTCGCGGACCGCCGACGTATGGGATTGCGGGGGATGGGCTCGATTGAGCCGAAGAGCCATAATTGCTCGTTTAGGATCTAATATCGCCAAGAATACTATATCTCTCTTCAGATCAAGAGATGATGGCTCCCTCTGGCGGAAAAGTTGGCGGCAATGTCTCAAATAGAGTCTTTAGGCTGCGACTTCATGTGATTTTCTTAGGTCTGTTCGTTGGCACTGATAGTTCACAGGTTGCCTCTTCGCACAGCATCACAGCCAAAGCTCCAGTGTCAGTGAGGAGCATCCGCGCTATCAAGTCTAGAGAATAAGAATGTACAAAAATACCAGCCGGAGGAGAGGCCCATTTGCAATACCAACTTTGTATGTAGACATCTTGGAGTAGTCGACCACGATGCGGGATTGCGTGCTCTGGCGCATACAGGATGCAAAGTCATGATTTTCTCAAGGAAGCCCAAGGTCACACTACTGTCGAATGAAGAATTAAAGACGACACAGAGGCTGAAAATTCTTGAAATAAATGGAGCATAGGTGATCTTTTCTAGTCCAGTCCATTTCACTTCCACCTCGAGTCTGTCCACCTTCTTAACGATCTAGTACTACCATCTTCGAGCACTAATACAAATCAATACGGATTAGATAATCGTGGAATCGAGCAGATCTTCAGAGATAGCCATCTTAGACAATACTACGTTGTCAACCAGCTTTGGCCAATTCTCAGAAAGACCAGTCTGATGACAGGAGTCAAACCTACTCGCATAGTCGCTTTGTCCATCAAGATACACCAACAAGTGATTTCGAATTTTAAGTTTAGTTCATTGGATCGTCAGTCAAGACTTACAGTACATTCTGAAAAAAACCGAGACGTGAAGCATAAACACTAATGCAAAATATAGATTCATACACCCACAATTGACCATTGTGTAATGCCCTCCCGTTTCACTGTAATCAATTGCTGTACAAGTCCTAGGACATTGCCAGACCACACTCTTCTTCTTGTATTTGTCCTTACGCCCTAATGAACCACCATTACTCCTTTACAACTCTTGGTCTTTTTCGCACTTCTTAACCTCGTACTGGACAGTGTCATTCCCTGTCCCCCAAACCTTCGGTTTGAAGTCAAGGTACACGAGCTCATTCTTTTCCGGTTTCCATTCTCCATCTGTGTCTCTGTAATAAACCATCTCGCCACTGCCGGCGTCTCGAACCTCGATGGTTGTGTGGGAAAACGTGCCATCCGTTGACCACTCCAGTTTGTAGCAAGAGTCCTTCTTCACGGGGAAGGGCTTAGAGCAGCGGATATTTCCGTCACTGTCGAGGCATTTCTCTATGGCGTAGTCAAGCACTTCGCCTTTGGAGACGGTCTCACCAGCTAGACGGACTATGTGTTAGATAACCGAGACGGAAATTCGTTGAACAGAGCCATCGTACCTAATTTTACGCTAGCAAGTGCGAGGCCTGCAATGGCGATCTTCTGTACATCCGGGATATACATGACGCGAGTTCGAAGTTGATGGCGCAGAAAAGAGGTATGTTTCGGGTAGATGAATTCGTTGTTGTTAAAGAGACGAGTGGTTAAAGTACCGAAATAAGGATCTCCAGAAACAAGGTATTTAAGCAAGTAGGCAAGCAGGTATTATAAAACAGCAGACGTTCTACCAAAACCGGCGAGATGCTCAAGCTTATTCGCATCATCGATGACGTTGATGGAGGGAGCTTTTGGTCCTTCCTGACCCTTAAATTGCCTAGTTCGGTATGTGGGGCTGTAACCTAAAAATACAAAAAGTACTAAGTTACCAGTTGACCTATCTTTTCTCCCCTCTTTAGCTGTTTTTACGTAATATAGCTAGAACAAGTAAGGTGATGTATGCTGGAAGGCTGCGAGTGATTCGGCAGATGCAAAAACGCTGACCAACTAGGTAACTACCTAGTAATTAGTGAGAGCTTCTGCTGCGCGGATTGTAAAACTCACTTGCATACTGTATAGGCATTTTGGCTATATATGTAGTCGCTGCTTTTATATCATGGGCGCTCTGTCGAACTAAATTAGGAACCACGTCACGCATTGACATAGATGACCGTCCAAGAAGGGAAAAGAGAAAGGCTCTATATACCGTGGGAGACAAAACTATTTCACCACATCAGATACCCGCTCTGATATGCTGCACCGTATTAATTGTATTCTTTTTTGACAGGCAAATGTATTTCGCCCTAGACTGTTGGGAAATTAGTAAATGTTGGGCCCATGAAGGTATTGATACCTAGGTCTGAGGAACTACAAAACCCGTTGCGCTCAAGAGCAAACAGTGCCAAGGCTCGAGGCGACTGTTTGCAGCAAAAATGCGAAACCCTCGCCTGCTCACATTCTTCACCACGAATAACTCTGCGTAACAAGACGACATTCTGTCTATTCGGCCTAAATTCCCCATACACCGAGTCTGGGGTCTTTTGCTGCTCCGAAGCTGAGGCTCCGTCGTGGTGCCCGGTGTCACATAGATACGTTGCCTGCTTCTGCAGCGATCGATAGGACCTGTTTGTGACTCTTAGAATGACTTAGGATAAAGGTATTGGTATACCACGTGGCTACGTTGCGAAGAATTAGCACAGCAAGCGTCATCCACAGCATGCCAGACGCTTGCTTTTATTACCTACCTTGGCTTCACTCGAGTCCTACCCATCGGCATCCAGTCCCTTTAATTTTCTACAACTAGAAAAATAGGGGCGAAAAGTGGCTGCTTCCAAGATATAAACACGAGAAAGTTTAGGAGACACAAACCTAATGGACAACTTGCCCTGTTCAGAGTCATAGCCGCCCCATTTCCCCAACTCTTTCTCTTCCTCTTCTTTATTATCACCATGAAAACTCGTAAAGTCTAGGCCGGTAACGGTGGTGTTGTAAGCGCTCGAGTCTGCAATCTGGTGACGCAGTTAGAAGCAGAGTCATGATGGTTGATGATGCCTTGTCACTAGGGCGTATAATTCCATGGCGGTTCTGGCGCGTGTGGGAAGAAAAATCTCCCTTTTGGGTGAGGCTGCTGTGCAAGTAATTTTACCCAGACGAGCTCGAGAGATGACAATCCGAGTACCGCCGCCTCGAAGTCTCTTAATTTTCACTCCCAAATTCGGCCGTGGTGTCGGACATAAAAGTAGCTACCCTGTACCTTTGTGCCTGAATTCAAGAACCCCGCACTAAAACTCTTTGGGATCGTTGCTCCAGTCCTTGCAGCCCCTCCGACTCATGGGAAAACATCAAAAATCGCCCCTCTCTGACTCAGGAGGGCCCGTGCCAGTCAATGCGGCATCACCGATTTCTTCGTCTTTTTGACATACAGGCCTGTGACTCGTTTACCTCGTCTAATAATCACAGAGACGTGTCTCTTGTATTTACTCCTGTCGAGGAGCTGCAATTCTAGGGGCTGGAAGCCTCCAATTTCAATTGCCTAAGGCAGCAACATCACCTCCCGTAGGTGCGACCTCGCTCTCGTTACATCAGTCATTCTCCCTTCGTTCCTTGCCATTTGAATGCAAGGCTCCGCTCTCCCCCCTAACGACCTCGACGACCGTATGGCGGTCATGGTCAATCAACATATTCATTTTCTTTCGTTACCTTGGACCACTGACTGACCAAAAGACGCTACTCTGCAGGGTCACCATGGCTTCCTCGGCCGATTCCGCACCAACCAATATTCCCGTCAGGGATGGCCCCCCGTCACAGCCTGATGGTCAGCTACCCAACTTCATCGTCGAGAGGAACCTGCTGTTCGAAGAGCTGAAGAAGAAATACGACGACGCCGTAGCCGCGAAGCCTCGAAACCCGATCACTGTGTCGCTCACAGCCGGCCCGGACAATATCACTGAAATCTCTGCTACCGCTTGGGAGACCACCCCAGGTCAATTGTTGAAGCACGTTGCCAAGGTTATCGCGTCCGAGGCAGTCGTTGCCAAGGTCAATGGCGAGGTCTGGGATCTGACCCGGCCTTTGGAGGCTGACTGCGCCGTCTCGTACCTATCTTCGAAGGATCCCGAGGGTCGTGCTGTATTCTGGCACTCGGCCGCACACGTACTCGGCGAGGCTTGTGAGCACCAGTTTGGCTGCATGCTGTCCCATGGTCCCCCAACCAACATGGGTTTCTTCTACGACATGGCCATGCGGGAGGGTGACGCCGTCAAGGAGACTGATCGCCCAGCCCTCGAGGCTTTAGCAAAGAAATTCTTCAAGGAGAAGCAGCCATTTGAGCGAGTTGAAATTGCCAAAGAGGATCTGCGAAAATTGTTTGGGTACTCCAAGTACAAGATGCACTATATTGAGAAGTTCGTCCCTGACGGCGGCTCCACCACCGTGTACCGCAACGGCTCCCTCGTCGATCTCTGCACCGGCCCGCACATCCAGAATACCAAGCAGATCTCCGCCTTCAAAATCATGGGCAACAGCTCAGCTTACTTCTTGGGCGACCAGGCCAACGACTCCTTGCAACGTATCTCTGGCGTCGCTTTCCCAAAGAATGATCAAATGAAGGAATGGCTTACCTACTTAGAGGAGGCTAAGAAGCGCGACCATCAGCTGATTGGAAAGAACCAGAAACTATTTTGGTTCAGTCCGCTCTCGCCAGGCTCACCGTTCTTTCTTCCTCACGGCACTCGCATCTTCAACGCCATCCAGGCAATGCTTCGAGAGCAATACTGGATGCGTGGGTACGACGAGGTTCATTCGCCCCTCATGTATGATGCCCAGCTCTGGAAAACTTCGGGCCACTGGGATCATTATCAGGAAGACATGTTCCGAGTGCCGTTAAAGCACACCCACGGTGCAGCGCCGGATGCCTCAGCAGCTTCTGGGCCAGATGCTAGCAAAGATGCCAACAAACCGGCCGACAAAGATGGCGAGAATGCCGAGGTTGCAAAGTTGGAACAGGAGAGGCTATTCGCTCTAAAGCCAATGAACTGTCCTGGCCACGCTCTCATGTTCGCCAGCGAAGAGCGCTCCTATCGATCTCTTCCGTGGCGAGTCGCCGATTTCAGTGTTCTGCATCGCAATGAAGCTTCTGGTGCGCTCACCGGTCTTACTAGAGTCCGCAAGTTCCAGCAAGATGACGCGCACATTTTCTGCACCATCGACCAGGTCACTGACGAACTTCGAGGCTTGTTCAAGTTCATGACGCACGTGTACACCATGTTCGGATTCCCATTCAAGCTTAAGCTCTCCACTCGCCCAGATTCCTACATGGGTAAGCTCTCCGACTGGGATGCTGCCGAGGATCGACTCAAGAAGGCCCTACAGGAATTCAAGGGCGATGACTGGGTTATCAATCCCGGTGATGGCGCCTTCTACGGGCCCAAGATCGATGTCACCGTCCACGATGCCTTGGGTAGAGAGTTCCAATGCGCCACTATTCAGCTTGACTTCCAGCTTCCCCAGAACTTTAACCTCCTCTACCGCACCAATGAATCTACGGCCGATCGCGCCAAGGGCGAGGGAGAGGAAGAAGGCGATATTCCCTCTGGCATGGCAAGACCCGTCATGATCCACCGAGCCGTCATCGGCTCCTTTGAACGCTTCATGGGTATCCTCATTGAACACTTTGCGGGCAAGTGGCCCTTCTGGCTCTCGCCACGCCAAGTCATGGTCATCCCCATTATGAAGGATGCGGAGGACTATGCCAGGGAGGTGCGAGACATTTTGCACGACGCGAAGCTCTACGCGGACGTCGATGTCTCGGGCAACACTCTTCAGAAGAAGATTCGAGCCGCACAGCTGGCGCAGTACAACTTTGTCATGGTTGTGGGTGCCGAGGAGATTGAGAAGCGAGCGGTGAATATTAGAAATCGTGACGATCCCTCAAGTCAGCAAAAGGGTGCCATGATTGATCTAGATGATGTTGTTAAGCGGCTTGTAGAGTTGAAGGCCGAGAGACGACTGGCTAACTCTATCTGATAGAGGAGGCTTGGGAACAGCAGTGGCACTCGGTGATAGAGGAAAAGGAGATGGGGTTTCTCTCGGCGTGGACTATGAAAGAAAATAAATGACTCTAACTTATTACGTAGTGTAATTTGGTTTCTAGACTTCATAAATATTGGCCCACCCAGAAGAAATCTTTCAACATGCTCCCTGGTTACTGGTGTACTGCCACATGTCCTGTGGCCTCAATTGACACGTACAACTCCTGCAGCGACTTAAATTCATCTCCAGCAACCCCTTTTGCTCATTTTCTGGCTTGTCAAACCAACTATTGGGACGACGTTCGTCGGCACAAGCTAGGCCAAAATCCTTTGTGCGCATAATTTCATGGTTGGCTTTTGTGCCTTTGTCAAGAAGTCTTCATCTCGGCCACTCTTATCAGCACTTGGCCATTGCGGTTGTGGAGTTGAGCCTCCTCATACATACATGGCGAGTGGAAGCTGCAAACTGGAAGAGTCAAATTTGAACCTGTGAGGCGGTGTATGCAGGCTGCTAACGAGTCGATATTTTGCACGGACATCCAGTGTTTTAATATTACTGTACTTGCAGGGAAACTTGGCCCTCGTGCCATACGAACGCCCCGAGCCACTGTATTTGGTCCTAGTCCATTTCTATTTCTATCTCCCCTGCAAAACACAGTGTGTGTTGTGGGTTCGGTTTGGCTACCCTTCTGTCCGAGAGAGGAGTGAGGAAAGGCAACAAAAAGGGAGATGGTGATACCTGGGACGGTGCGCCTCTCATTACGCGCAAATTCAACTTGCCACTACTTGAATGAAGACAAGGTGAATTCTTGTTTAAAAGTGGTAACTAGTATACTACGTACAGCAATTATTGAGAAGTATGACGGTCTGCCAGCGCCTTTCGTGTCATCTGCACTGAGGAGCTTGAATTCAAACTGCGTTTCTTGGACCCAACGACTACACCTCACCAAGAATCCCCATCAAAAAGGCGAGGATCGGTCCTGTAGATCCTGCGTAGCACATCCCAGACTCATTCCAACCTCGACGGAAGTCTGAATTTTCTGCTCACTCAAGCGCAAAAGATCGTCGTCGAACTTGATGCGCCTATATTGAAAGGCGACGATGATCGACGAGCCGCCAAACTGAAAGACGCCCAGCTCGTCTCCCTTGTTGATCTTTGTCCCGGCGCTGCGGTACTTGTTGTAAATGCTAAAAGAGTCAGCAGCGGCCTTTGTTCTTCATATTGCAGGGTCCGTCGACGTACTGCACGCTTCCCACGTCCGTCGCGCCAATAGCCGCAAACAGGACCTTTCCAAACTCTCTTGTTTCGATGACGACGTAGTCCCTTCGATTGCGCGTCAGAATGTCCACCTTGCTCTGCAACGCTACAGGGTCGACCTGGTAGTAGTCGCCCGGCAGGCTCTGGTACGTCTTCACCTCGCCCTGGACGGGCGAGTGGTACCGGTGGTAGTCTTGCGGCGAAAGGCGGAAGCTCGCAATTGCCGCGTGCTTAAAGTCGTCGCTCACGTCATTGTTCATGACGAGGTTGGCGAGGCTAAAGTTCTTGCCCTTGATCCAGAGCGCCTTTGCCTCGTTGACCGAGTTGAAGACGACGACTCTCGAGTCCGCCACCACGACGGCTCGGGAAGGGTCGTCGGCGTCGCAAATGGGCCGTGAGCCGGCTTTGTGCGCGCGGGTGAAGAAGTCCTCGAAGGTAGGGTAGCGCGTGATGTCGGTGGGCTCGAACTCGCGCATGTCGATGCCGTACGCGTCCACGAACCCCCTGATGCGTCTCCTGGAACCGGGACTCCTTTCCTTTTGGCCTGCGGTATTTCTGTGTCAGCGACGGTGATGGCGGCGGGGGACGTTGGGAGTGTCGATTTAACCGTGGCGCGAAACTTCTGCGACGGACTCTTCGTGCATGTACAGCCTCATCAGATGCGTCCTGTCGATCCATTCGGTGAGTGGGTTGAACAGGACAAGTAGTTTCAGCTTCTTCCATAGTGATTGCTCTTCGCGTTCTATCTTCCCCGTCTATGCCCCGGGTCAGCGGCCAAATGATACGTCGTTTGCGCCTTTCTTGATCATCACCTTTCGGTTGAACGAGCGCCAACCAACTTCCGAGTTTTGTTCCTAGATGCGTGGTTAACAAGTACTGTGGTGGGCTACATCATTTCGACGTATTTGCGGTATTCCAACGTACAAGCTTCACCCAGTAGAGGAAGTAGTCGGCGATTGCGTGGATTCGTTGCCAGAGAGTCATGATGGGTGAATTTGGGTTACGGCCGAAATCTGAGTAGCAAGGAAGGAGTCTTGGAGAATAAGGGATAGTATTGCCATAAAATGGATGAGATTCCCCCCGACATTATTGATGAGATTTGTTTTAATTTTCATCGAGGAAAATATAGGTTCTTTGACGAGTTGGATGATGTTGGAATGACGCAGTACACCCGACGCCACACTTCTGTGCTGCCAGCTTCAAGCTGCCGAGGGTTTAGCCATATTTATCATGTCTGGTACGAGCAATGCAATGCAACCACGGGGACCCGAACTCGGTGAATTCGTGGCACGGCGGCAAGGATACTCTGATTCAACCATTCACTGACAACCTTGGCTGCCCACGGTGAGAGACCAATGCTCACAAAACGGAGGAACATGATGGGTTCTATGGGCGAGACATCTCCTAACTGACGCGAGAAGATTAAACATGTTCTCATTCTCGTTATTCACCCGGTCCCTAAGACATCTGCATCAAAAGTTAAAAACAGACTTGCTTGGCCTACCCCTTACAGCCGGCAACGCCGCCTCGTAGAGCACAACTCAAGCCCGTCAGGTGCAACTAGTGATGAAGAAAATGGATGCAAACAACTACTTCGTCTCCTCTGAGGCATGTGCAGGTCCTCGCTTCGAAGGCGTTTCGGGCCCCGTCTTGCTAATGCCTCTCGTCTCATGTAGTCCTTGCTCATCATTGCGGTTCGCCGTTGACTTCCAGCCCGCCGCACCATCTAGACTTCTCCGTCGCGCCATGTTGCTGTTTTGCTGGGACTGGTTTGGTCTTAACCCTACGGCGTATATAGTCGCCGCAATGAGACCTATACCAGCAGCCGCTGTCACGATAACCTTTTCTCTAGGCATTCTGAAGCTGCAGAACTCTGTGAGGAGGGCCTCGAGTGGAAAGGCCATCCGCAATTTGCTGTTTGTTGCAAAGTATTGCGAGGCGTACGATGTCTAGATGAAGAATGAATGGTGCCAAATGAGTCGAAGAATTTGAGGAATTTCCTCGGGTGCCGCACGCAGGCAGTTTTGTCGTGAGCGGTATGCGTTGGGTTTCTGGGTATGTACGTTGGTGTCACGCAGAGGTGATGTCACGGTGACGAAGCGTTCTTGTTACTCCCAGTGACCGTGCTCCCTTGCAAGGCGTCACAGGGATGTCCCGGTAGTTTTTACCACATGGCCATCATGATCAAGACCCTTCACCTTTGACCGCCGTCCACGTGTTGCAAAGGCTGTAGCAGGCGGCGGCGGTTCACGACTTGCACAGAGTCCATAACCATGACGCTCACGGCGTACAACGACGTGATGAAGCAGTTACGTGCATGTAGAGGTGCTGAAGTAAAGAAATGAAGAGGGCTAGGTTCTGATGTCGATGGCCATTGGCGCTGGTCTCGATGATGGAGATCCGAAGCGCTTCGAATGTTGATGCTTCAAAAGCGGCATGGAGTCGCGCGACTGCATGTGTACATGAAGTGCCCACTGCCCGGGCACCTCGGTAGAGTCGGTACCTAAAGTCTCCCAGTGCCACGAGCTTTTACTCCCCTAGTAGGTCAAGCGTCGGCCTAGCTCCCACTATAGCGGGAGTGTCGGACATGCAGTTCAGCTATACCGATGTACTATTAACCTCGTCATAGGTAAACTAGACAGAATACCACACTAAATGTTCTCTTTATATTTAACAATAAATGAGTCTTACTGTATACCCACTCGATGGCCATATTAATAGATAGCTTTTACATCATTAGGTGCTAGACATATGCAAGGGGTAGGCGGAAACCTGCAGGTCGGAATAACAGGGTAACTGAGGGCTATGTAATCAACGGTGAAAGGTAGGTGCTGGTAGCATTTTTTGTACTCCCGTGTGGTAGGCCCGGCTGTGGGTGCGCACACCGCATCTTAACACTACCTAGGTAGTTAGCACGTCAACTGGTATATCTCGTAGCGGCTGCACATATCTTGTGCTAGCAGCTACGCACATTTTAATATATTATGCATATAAGACCTCAAGTGCTTCCTTCCCGCGGGGCCCACATTTAACCTTCACCTTTCACACCTACCTTTAATATTGACCTTTAATATCCCCTGTAACATCCCCCGTTGACATCCACTGTCATCATCCACCTTACTAGACCTATTAAAAACCAGGGCCATCAGGACCAGCAATAATGGCAACAACGGCAATAATAGCAATATGTCAAGATTATACCCAATGCTTGCATCGCCAGCATCACATTGGTGCTGATATCCTGTGATACATTTCGAACCCATCGAAAGAGATGGTACATTGATAAGCTGGTAGTGCACCAACAGCCTGTCCGACACACGAGGTCCCTCGGACCCCTGCATGTGGCCGACAACTTCCAACCTCTCTCCTTCATTCACCACACGCGCCGCCATTGCCGCCGTTAAGCATGCTTCCAGACGACACTTCCCTTGATATCACCGATCCCCTGGGATATGTGGATATATTCCGGGGAACAAATTCCAGAACCCAAGGGAAGGCCAGAGCTAGCGGCACAATCCAATATGGGATGGACCCTTGACCCGATCCGGAGGAAATTCAAGCTATTCATCGTCAATTGGAGGCCAACAGAATCCGGCGTCATGGCACAATGATAGACGGCTGGATAGAGGGCCGAATTGGATCCTGTCCAAATTTTTTCGAGTTTCTTAAAACAGAGCCGAGTGGTGCGCAGGACACTGTCCGAGGATATCTTGACACCAAATTGACAGAGGCTTTCTGATAAGAACTAGCGGGTAGCGAGACCTCATCTCAACGGCAAATCCGACCGTGCTCAATTCGCAAAGATGACAAGGCGGAAGCTGCTGACGCTCACGAAGCCGATCACAGTCCTAGGCATCAGGAGAAACGTCAAAAGACGACCAACACCAACTACTCTCGACAGCCCTGTTACCGAGCGCACAAGGGCTCACTCTGTGCAGAACCACCTGCAGATATATCCCAATCCTGCCCTCACGAGACACGACACCGAAACCACCTCACGCATTCGTCGCCCTCAAAGGGGAGCACGTAATACACAGTCGACGTGCAAGCAGTCTCCAACACAGGTAACCACTGCTACCAGACGCAGTGGTCGAAAGAGGCGAAACACACTGGTCCGTTCTATAGAATAATAGACAGTGCCGATTTTGACCATTTATTTTTCCCGAGAGGCTCCCTGCGTTCAATGTCATGCCAAGTGCGACTCGACGCAACCGCGGGCGTGAACAGCCATATTACTCGGTCATGTTGGTCGTTATTCTGGAGAGCATTGTTGCGAGTGGCTCTGCTGAAAGAGTAAAAAGTAGCCTCTAACGGGACAGGCAACACGCCCAACGTTTGTTTCTTCTGGCTCATAATCCGTCCTTTATCAGAACCACGGATCGTTGCTGGTAAACCTGATGCCTGCACTATACTACAAATCGATATAGCCCGGATTATTCGAGCGTGTCGGCCAGAACGCCGTCTCGCCCTCGTTCAATGTAGAAGGATTGATGCGCCAGCGTGGGCGTCTCCATTTTGGGCGTATACTTTGAACGCTTAAATGACGCATGGGGCCTCGGATGTGGAAATCTCGCTTCTTGTATCCATAATACATACATCTTCGTCTGCCTCATGCATCCCAGTTGGCAAGTGAGAGAATGGCAAGATGGCGGTGAGGTAAGGGGTTGTTTTGAGGTTGGGAAGAAAGAGAACTGACGAGGGCTTATACTTGGGGCGAACCATAACCTACAATCCAAGACTTGTCTTGGTTCTCGCGGATCACTCAAGCACATCATCCAAGTCGAGTTAGCCACCTACACGCGAGGTTTCACAATGGACGCTTCGGAACTCGAGACTCATGTCTTGACAATGATGGGCCTGTGACGCTACCCACAGGACGAGGTGCAGATGTATGGTGACCATTGCATCCTTTGAATTGAGATATTGAATGCAAGCCGACCGAATCTGCGGGTAAGCCACAGGATTAATTCGTCCAAGGGGCACAAGGCCGTAATTCAAACCCGGGCGCCATTCCGCCCTGCAGCCTTAACTCATGCCTTGTTAACAGAGCTACAAGGATGAGCGATATTCGATTTGGTGAGCTATAAGCGGCTGAAGGTGGAACTTTCGTTTCCCCAGGCACACAACCCGAGACATCTGCACGCGAACCATTGTGACCCGTGTCTTTCTTGACAGGGTCGTATTCAACCGGAGGTGGCCGAGGCGGGTTGACTTGCCTTCAATGTTGCTGTGCTTACCCCCAGTACGGAGTGGGTAATGCGCAGTACTACTCCGTACAGAACTTTGAAGCTGCGATTACGTCTTGTCCGTCAAGACATGTGGGAGGGGTCGGATTGACATATAAGACATGAGCGTGGCACATGTCAATGTTGGGAGGCAGCTGTCCTGGATCAGATTGTCAATCTCTTCCAACTGGGTTGAGCGCGACACGCTGGGACAATCGAGTGGAAGCCGACTAGGGTTTCTACAACACCACCATCATGTTGAGGTCTCTCGGGCTCGTCGGCAGCATTGCTGCTATCCTCCCGGGCGCATTGGCTTGTGGCCACGATGATTGCTACGGACCGATTGACAAGGTCGAGCACGTTCGTCACGTCAAGCGCATGCAGCCCGGCGCGCCTAATGCCACATACGGACCAAAAGCACCCCTTGAATGGGGCCAGGTCAATTTCCTCCATACCGTGAGTTAGCTGTCTCAGAGAAGGGCCAATGCTGTTGATTGTAGGAATGCCAATTGACACGAAGTAGACAGATACCCACGGCTGGCTCCAAGGCCATTTGAAGGAGCAAAACTACGGCGCCGACTGGGGCGACTTTGTCACTTTTGGCCGTCGCATGAAGCAGACTGCCGGAAATCTGGGAGTCGACCTGCTTCTCGTTGACACTGGTGACCTGCATGATGGCACTGGTCTTTCGGATGCTACGAAAGAGGATGGCACCAAGTCGATGCCCATCTTCAACGAAATCGAGTATGACTTGTTGACAATCGGTAAGCATCTCACCACTTGTCCCTGCCAAAAATTGCAAAATCTCGAACCTGGGCTAAACCATACAAAGGCAATCACGAGCTCTACGTCAGCGAGGTCGCATACCAAATGTTCAATGACTACTCCAAGAAATGGGGAGACCGATATGTCACGTCCAACGTCAAAGTTCTCAACCATAAGACCGGCGAATATGAATATGTGGGCGCCACCCATCGTTACTTCACTACTCCCAACGGATTGCGTGTCATGGCTTTCGGTGTTCTTTTTGACTTTACTGGTACGTCAGTCTCCTACATTGCTGACTTGGAACCAGGGAATTAATCCATACTTGTTATTCCCACGTAGGAAACTCCAACGCCTCACAAGTCATCAAAGCCAATGACATGGTAAAGGAAAGCTGGTTCACTGAGGCCCTTACTAGCAAGAAGCCGGTCGACTTATTCATCCTCTTTGGCCACAATCCCGTTCGCGCCACGGACAAGTACAGCACGTTCAAGGTCGTATTCGACGCCATCCGCGCTTCTCATCCCAAGACGCCCGTCCAGCTACTCGGTGGACACACCCATATCCGAGACTTTGCCGTCTATGATGACAACGCCGTGGGCATTGAGTCTGGCCGGTACTGCGAGACGCTGGGCTGGATGTCCGTCTCTGGATTCGACAAATCCAACAGCGGATTTCACGGAGTCGGGAACCCTCATGGTGTGCCCAACCCTTCTCGACCTGCCAGGGAGGGTGCCAAGTCACCGTTTGTCTATTCCAGACGGTACTTGGACTGGAATCGAAAAACATTCCTCTACCACTCCAAGCAAACTGAGAAGACGTACGACTATCATTCCGGCCTGCGAGTTACCGGCGACATCACCAGGGATCGTGAGGAGCTCAAGCTTGGCCAGGTGTACGGATGTGCTCCGCAGGACTATTGCATCGACTGCGCGCCCTTCACTGATGACAAGAAGAACATCTTCCCCGGTGTCATTTACCCTGCCGTCTCGGCCATCGTCTTGAACGAGACCCGCAAGGACAAGTCTCGTATTATTCTGGGCAACACTGGCGCTATCAGGTTCGACCTGCACAAGGGACCCTTCACGTATGATGACAACTTCATTGTGTCGCCGTTTAGGGATGTATTTTTTTACATTGCGGATGTTCCTTTTGACAAGGCATCCAAGGTTATCGGCCGGTACGTTTTCATTGTCCCCCCAACTAGTCGACCAGGAGGTCCATAGAGATGGCTTTGTGCTAATTCACTTGCAGGCTCAACAATGGCGTAGTCGACAAGCGTTTTGCCTCCACGCGCATCCCAAGCGATGAGTGCACCAACCCAACGCTCGGCTACATGAGCCGTCGCGATATGCGCGAATCTCGAGGGATTGTTCGCCGCCAAGACGCCGTTGTTCCCGGCTATACCACCGAGGATGACTGGGGCACCGACGGTATGTTTCTGCTCTCTCGGTCGAGTCTTGGGCGCCGGTTGCTAATATACAAAGTAGGCGATGACACCGAGCACTCCGATATTCCTAGCTTCAGCATCCCGGGGTATTGGGAGGCGCGGGCGTCATTCCCCAAGGACGGCAGCAACCCTGACAAAGTTGATCTCATCTTCTTCGACTTGTACGTTGCCAAATATTGCGATTTGCATTTTGCCGTGCGCTAACCGTATGATAGTATTCAGAGCCATGTGCTTGCAGACCTTGGTGCGGGTTTTACTGCTGACATGGTCCATTGCTATATCAACTGTACTTTTACGTCTCAGGATTTCATGTTGCCGTATGCCAAGCTTGCGTGGCGGGAGAATGTGGCTAACTGCCATATCTGACCGGCGTGTTTTGTTGACATGGGTTGCTGGTAGGGGAAAACAGGAGTACAAAATCTCGGGAGTTGTGAAGCGGCGTGGCGAGCATAGGCATAAGTGAAGGCGTCTAGGTGATGGTAACACTCGAAATGACACTACGTTTGATGTAAACACGCCTTGTGCTCGCTTCATTTGATCCCCTCCCACTTCCCCAAGTGAAAATTGCCATCTCGGGTATATCTAGTAGTACACGTCGCCCTTCATCAGGACCCTCGCCGTGCGCAACAACTTGGCCGACAAGATGTTGCCGTCCTTGACCTCGGTGCCCACGTCCAGCTTGCCGCTGGGGTGCGCAATCGTCACGGCGTCGTCTCTTATGCCGCCCGGTCTCGCGGCAACCAAGTCCGCAGCAAGAGTGCCCGGAATCCGCGCCGACGCCCCGAGGCAGAGAGCCAAGGTCAACGGCACGGCCCTGTGCGCCTGGCCCATGGACATGGCGACGCATCGAATGTCGACGCCGTCCGGGGTATCGCCCCCGGGGAAGAGGAGGACGATCTTGGGCACGCTTTCAACGTCGGGGTCAAGGCCCATTTTGGCCGTCCCGGCGCGCCGAATCTCCTCCAGCCGCGCCTTCAACGCGGCGTCTGCTTCAATGGCGGCGGGTGTGAGCGCCGAAGAGGCCGCCCGGTCGAGCCCGAGGCCGCGGGTAGACACGAAAACGCCCGGGTTGCCCACGTCCACCAGCGACGCCCGCACCCGGCTCCCGCCCGGCAGCTCCAGAGTGTCGACGGGCGCGCCGGTCGGCAGCGCTCTGCCCGTCTTGGCGCCGGCCGGGTCCACGAAGCTCATGGTGATGACGGAGCCCGTGCCCGGCACGCCGTCCACGGCGTACTCGCCCTCGGGGGCGTACCTGGCCGGTTCCCCGGACACCCTGAAGCGCGAGACCATGACCTTGGAGGTGTTGGTGTTGAATATCCGCACCGTGGCCCACCGGCGGCCCCCGAGGTCCGTCTCGACGGTCGCCGTCTCGGGGCCGACGAGCCCTTGGTCCCAGGCCGCGGGGCCGACGACGGACGACATGTTGCCGCAGTTGCCGGCCTTGTCGAGCACGCCGTCGCGGATCCCGACCTGCACAAAGGTGAAGTCGACGTCGACGTCGGCGCGTGACGGCGGGCCGAGGACGACCACCTTGGACGTGGACGACAGCCCGGAGCCCATGCCGTTCAGCTGGCGCCCGGAGCCGGGGTCGGGGGATCCCATGGCGGAGGGGAGGACCGAAGGCCACTGGTCTTCCGGGGGCAGGTCATGGCGGCGGATGACGAGGCCGTTGGACGTGCCGCCGCGGACGAACCACGCGGGAAAGCTGCGGGGGGGGAAGGCAGCTTTGGAAGCTGTTTGGCGACGGGTCCTACAGCTGCGCGGGGAACTAGTCAGGGGCCGTGCTCTGCAGAGAGTGCGCAGGGCGTGCAGATTCGCAGGCGGCATGGTTCTGGTGCGCGCATTGAGCTTGAGGTTGAAGTTGAGGTTGAAGTTGAGGCTCCGCGACGGCGGTTCGGGCGGGAGTCGGCCACGGATGTGAGCTGATGTGGGGCGCGGGTGTCGGACCTCCGTCAGTGCAAGTCGCGATGAGAAGAAAAGGGTATTCCCTCCGCATTGCAAGGGTCACATTAATTGCCGCTGCTGCGTGACACCAAGATGCGAAATAACTGAGCCGAGATGACTGGCGGGTTCGGTAGAGCACCC